AGGCATAGGTACTATATATGTGAATGGGCACTCGTCCAAGGATCTCATGAAAATCTGTATCTTAACACTCAACTGGAATGTATTCTTTTTATTCAGGAGTGTTACCTAGAAAAGCAAAACAAAACAAAACACAATGTTATTTATGAGGCACTGAAAATTGGCAATACTGTGAAATTGGAAAGTACACACAGAAATAAACATGAACTTTATGTGCCTAAAATAAAATCTTCGTAATTCCTTTTTTTAAAAAAGGAGAAACAGTAAGAGAGGACAAAGTGTCTATCAGTCCCTCTGCTCCAATGAGTCCACTCCTGAGCAGCGCTCATTTCAGGTCGCACAGCAGGAGGCACCTCAGCTGTGCAGAGCCAAGTTCTCATGAGTCAAAAGGCTCTGCGACCCACAAGATGAACACAGGCCAAGCAGCATTTAGACTCCTGTGGCAGGACTTCCTTATTGGTCAGTGTGATTACGTACTCACCTTCAAGACTTTTCTAAGGGTTTCATGTGATAAAGTAAAGAAATCAACTTAAGATCCAGCTGGGGTTAAACGGACCCTCCTGTTATACTGAGCTCAGTGAGTTTCCAAGGGCAGAGGCTCTGTTTCGGTGATCGATGCCCCAGCATGCCCAGTATGTCCTTCCTGATCCACCTGTCCATCTGTCATGGAGGCCTCTGCACTCCTTGCTTTTTATCTCACCCACCCTGCCATGTGTGCCACCACGCCCAAGTCACCTCCTGATCTCTCTGATGCCTCAGAACAAGGTTCTTAGAATTGCACTGGAGACCTCCTTAGTTCCTCGCTTCTCACCAGCCCTCTGCCACCATGACCCTTGGTCCTATCTCTTTTCTGGCATTGGTCCTTGTCCTCCCCAACATCTTTGTAAACTCAAGTCTCTCCATGTGAAGTTCCCATCATTCTCTGCTTTCCTCGGGGAGGTAACAGGAGTAGTCAGCCAGCTTGACAGCTCCACATACATACCTCAGAGAAGGACACAGGGAAGGAGACGTTCGTATTTCTAGTCTTAAAAAAGTCCCCAGTGTCTGTATTACTTTCTGGTGGTCAGCAACTATTATGGCTTGTGTCTAGTTGTCCCCCAAAGCCCCATGTAGTCATAGGGAGGACTTCTAGGGTTTGTGATTAACTCATAATCCATGGGGATTACGGGTGTGAGTGCTGCTGGAATTACAGGTGTGAGTACTATACCCAGCCTGGGGCATATAGTTTGAATGCAATTGAAGAGAGACAGATTTGCTCTCTGCAGCCATTGTTGGTGCTACTCCTCCATTTGCTCTCTGTCACTGCCATGAAACACCTTTCCTTCCTTAATTTTGAGTATCAGGTATTGGTCGCAGCAACGAGAAAGTAACTGAGACAGTAATGTATAAGTGCCACTCATTGCAGCACAGCTGCTCTGAGGAACTGAAGATCAGCAAGATGACCCTCCATCACCTGGCATTAATTCTCCTCCGTGGTGTCATTTTTGATGTGTAGAAGTTGTTCTAATTCTAATCTTTTATTTTCTATCAAGAGATCTTCAGGATCAATCAATCTCTAATGATATGACTAAGGGCAGTATTTAAAAATTTTCTTAATGAGTTCATATTCAGAAGCTTAGAAAATAGGAACGTTTTACTAGACGGTCAACGGCATTGGAGAAGTGATATCTGCTTTTTAGAAGCAATCTCTTCAAAGACAGTAATGCAGTTAATAACAGAACTTCAATAAATGCCAACAGGGCTGGCCAGATAGCTCAGTGGACTAAAGCACCTGCTTTGGCAAAGCGTAGCAGCCAGGGTTTGGTCCCCGGTGTGCCATGCCAGCCCTGCCCCTAGGGCGCATTGACAGGATGACTGTGACTGGGCATGGTGGCGTGCACCTGTAATCCCAGTGCTTGGGAGGCTGAAAATAGAAGAATCACTACAAGTCCAATCTATGTAGTGAGACCCTGTACACCCTGTGCTAAAATTAAAAAAAAAAAAAAGCAAGCATCAGTAAGACTTCAGAAAGAGCTGGTCACATTCGAGTTAAGCCTAAATGGAAATTCCCCAGTAAGAAGTGCCCATTCTCTCAGGGTGATGGACACCAAGGTCAATCTCAGACTTGCCAGTCTGCAAACACCACTTCCCCCATGGTACCTGAGAGCTCCACTATTTCTGACTTACATGTTCATGCTCACAACTCACACATGGTGCCCAAGAGCCCCGCTGTCACCGTCACCAGCCTGCATCTGCATCTGCATCTGCGCTTGCATCCTTGCAATCATCTCTTGCATGCGGCGAAGCTGTGAACACAGTGCACATTGGGGCACATTACTGGTGTTCAGTTTGTTGTCCCTGAACATTATTTACAGAATACATAAGCCATTAAATTTTAACTTCTTTTTAATACACATGCTAAAATACAAGGAATCCTTACAGATCAGTAAAAAGACTCAATAAAACAATACGAACATTAAAAACAAAACAAAAACACAGGGCTGGCGAGTTCAGCAGACTAAGAACCTATTTAGGCAGTGCATGGACCAGGGTTCGACCCCCAGCACCACAGGCTATGCTGGCCTCACCCCTGGGTGCACTGAGCCAGCCACTGAGACCAGGTGTTGTGCCACGTCTGTAATTTTAGTATTAGGGAGGTTGAAAATGGGGATCACTACAAGTCTGAACTGCATAGTGAGACCCTCTACCAAATACATTCAAGAAAAGAAAAAAGGTAAATGATAAAAATACGCAAATCAAGTAAAACAAATTATCAATAGCCAGAAAAATAATTAAAGAAAATGAGATTTTTTTAAACCCAAAAGGTAGAAAAGAGACTTGAGTTTACCTGGTGGGTAATGGGAAGTGAGAAAATGATTCAGCTTTTCTGGAGGGCAATGAGGTGCTAGCTCTGAAAATATTCAATGTTGATACATCTTTATCCTTACCAACTTTTACCATCGTAGCTTTTATGTGTTAGGGAGGCCACCAGGAAAGTACTATGAAATATTTTTCTTCAGGTAGCGGGTGTGGTGGTGCACACCTGTAATCTAAGCACTCGGGAGGATGAGGCTGCAGGATCACTGTGAGTTTGAGGGCAGCCTGGGCTACACAGTGAGTTGAAAGCCACCATGAACTATACAGCAAGACCCTATCTTATATAATCCACAGTGAATTAATCTAGCTCGTCCCTGGTACCCACATTCTACTGGATGACCTGCACTCCATGCCCTTGGTCCATGAGGTCTCCTAGATGACTGCCTGCATGACCTTGCTCTTGAGGATCTTTATAACATGTAAAACATGGGGTTTCCCATACTTGTCTCCTAAAACAGAATTGCTGAGAGACAAGAAACTCATTCTTACTGAATGAGAATGTTAACTCTCTCTCTCTCAGCAATCACACAAAATTCCTCTTGGGAGTTTTATAATTGTACTAAATCTAGAAGAGGCATGTGAGCCTTAATTGAATATGTACCACCTACAATGTTGTATGTCTACTGTAATCTTTTTTGTTTGCTTTTTAAGGCAGGGTTTCACAATATAGCCTAGAGGGCTGGGCAGATAGCTCAGTAGAATAAGCACTTGCCTGGCAAGTGCAAGGTCCTGAGTTCAATCCCCAGTACCGCAAACAAACAAAAAAACACAATATAGCCCAGTACTATGAATAACCACTATGAAGACCCTGCAATATGCAATGTCCTAATTATTGAAACTATCCTACTAATCGATTTTGAAACTGTCTCTGTTGTTTCTCAATAAAATTAATTCAATAAAAACAACAATTAAAAAAAAAAAAACAATAGAGCCCAGAAAGGGCTTGAATTCAAAATTGGCCCCAGGTGGCCTAGAATTTATGGTCCTCCTACCTCAGTCCACTGAATACAGGAATTACAACTGTGTACCACCAACTTTAGTCTATTGTAATCTTTAAAAAATATTTTCAATAGTTTTCTTATTTCTCATCCTATATAAGCCCTATATATTTTGGCTCAAATTTTGGTTATGGATGTAAATGGCAGTTTCACTCTATTTTTCAACTGTTTATTATTTACATATGAGACAAACAATAAGTAGCATTAGTCAAGTCTCTTTCCAAGTTTCTTTTAGCTAAACTACTACTGGTGGCTAAATGAGATAAAATAAAACATGTATATTATTGCATAAAGTTGTCTATATTCCTTTTCAAAAAGTTAAGGAAAAAAACCCATCAGAAGCTATATACAAACTGTTTTCGAATGTAAGCCTACCCATGTCGTAAGAATAGTACTTTTCTTCTTACCTCAGCTTCCTTTTCCAGCAGGATCTGATCTTTATTCATATCCTCATTCTCCACTTTCCTAGGAGTAGGAAGAAAGTAGAATTACAATACTGCAACAAATATGGCGGGTTCTGATTACAAACAGCTAGAGGGAAATATTTAATGTAGAATTCTGAGAAGCATCTGTTTAAATTACAATTTTAATTCCATAACTAAAGACATAGTCAAAAATAAAACGAAATAAAATTGTTTCAAAAGAGAAGGGAACAGAATGGATAAATGTCACGGACTTTGTGAAGTCAGGAGACTTCTGGTACTCTCACACTGGGACAACACTTCTTTTGTGATCTCACTCTCAGAGCTGCAGGCCAAGTGTGCACTGGAGCAGCAGAGCCCGAGGCAGTGAGAAGCCCACCCTGCCAACAGAGGAGCACTCCCAACACACACTGGGCCGCAATACACAAGCAGGCCATTCCTGGCAGACTGATGCTTGCCCATCTGCAAAGTTCCTAATGTCTAGTTCGCAAGTTAACACAGTAAATGCACACAGAGATTGAACCCAGGCCCTCTGTCACTGAGCTAAGCTATATCCTAGACCGCTTTTAGCTTTTTTTTATTTTTTTATTTTTTTCCCTTTTAGCTTTTTAAGACAGCACTTCATTATGTTGCCCAGACAAGCCTTGAATTTCTGATTTTTTTTTTCAGTGTTTTTGAGTAAGTCTCATTACGTAGTTCAGACTGGCCCCTAACTCATGGTGATCCTCCTGTTTCAGTCTCCCAAGTGCTGCGATTATGGGTGTATGCCACCATGCCCAGCTAGGTTGCATTTATAATCCTTCTTCCTTTAGCTGGGATTACAAACGTGTCACTGTGCCTGGCAAGTTATACTTTAACGTTCACCTCAGTCATATCCACAAGTCTATTGAGGTTATTAAAATATGAATAATTATTATACTATAATTAACATATGTCACTTGTTTATTGTGCCCTATTCTAAGCAGAAATGGAATTTTTTTCAGATATAGATCATGTCACAAAATACAAATCTCTGGTGCATACCTATAGTCCCAGCACTTGGGAGTCTAAGGCAGGAGGATCACTCTGAGTCCAAGGTCAGCCTGAACTGCATAGAGACCTTGCCTCAAAAACAGCCCCCCCCCCCAAAAAATACATAAAAACGTATTAGGAGAATGGTACATGTCTACAATGCCAGTATGTAGGAAGGTAAAGCAGTAGGATTTTCCTCAAATTAAAGGCCAGCCTGAGCTATAAAAAGAGTTCAACACCAGTCTGAACTACAAAGTTCAGAACTGGTCTCCCTCAGGCAGGTCAGGGAACTTGATGCTAAACACAACTTGGTTTATTTTTGGCTTTTTAAGACAGGCCCTCACAGTGTGGTTCTGGATGGGTCTGAAGTTTTTTTTTTTTCTTGTGGAACCGGGGATTGAACTCAGGCCCTTGCGCTTGCCAGGGAAGCACTTATTCTGCTGAGCCGTCTCCCTGGCCCTGGTCTCCCTCAATTTACAGGGCAGTGCTCTAAATTTACAGATACTGTTCTGATGACACCCATGGCAGCCTCACCCTTATCCAGAGGGCTGTGGTTCTTAGTAGGAAACATGTTTGTCTTCAGACAGAGGGATCCTTTTGGAGATATTCCAACAGAAGTCTCCGGCCTTCTTATTAAGGTATTTTGCATTTGCACATTATGGAACAATTATTTGAAGGCTACAAAACCATGATTTCACAAGCAGTAACTTTCATCTGTCAGTGTTTGAGTACAAAGCTTTTTTTGTTTTAAATCAGGTTCTCAGGCTAGCCTCAAACGCAAAGTGATCCTCCTGCCCCAGCCTCCTGAGTGCTTCGAATACAGGCATGCGCCACCATGCCTGGTTAAGAAGCCTACATTTAAGCAGCTGCTTAGTGGTCAAAATTATAATAGAAAAGGAAGGACACACAGAGGAGGGGAGAACATAGCTTGAGTTAATATGAAAGAGAAGAATGGGAGTAGTGTAACCACCTGCCGCCTCTCTTAAGCCTCTCAGAACGGAAATTTTCATAGTGCAGGTCCTGGGTCACTTCCTGTAGATCTTGCATGTGGGTGCTGAAAAACAAAAGGAAAACCCTAAAATGGCTGTATGCTTGTGATTCTCACAGGAACCCACAAGTACACAGAACACAACTGAAACTTCCCTACTACTGGGAAAACTGTGTAGGAAAGTTGCTAGACTATCAGGGTAAAGGGGTCTGGCCGTGGTAACAACTAGTAAAGCCACAGCGTTGTCTCCCTTGTCACCATACCAAATGACAAGTCTGGGTGAGTCTTCCTCACTAGACTGCTGCCATGGCAATGGCAGTCCCCTGCATGAGGCCACCACCACTGGAGGAAGATTTGTACAGAAGTATGAATAGACTGCTAGGTAAACAAGGTCTATACTATGAAGTACTTCTCAAAGATCTTATGGGAAATACGCAGTTCAACTCTTTATGACTTGGCTCAGTAGAATAAGCACTTGCCTGGCAAGCACAAGGGCCTGAGTTCAATCCCCGGTTCCACCAAAAAAACCCATAAAACAAAAAACTCATGACTTAAGCTTTAAGTTTATGTATTAATCTTACATCACAAAGAACTGATTGGCTTAAACCATGGACAAGAGTATTAAGTGAAGCCTAGGAATGGTGAATTAAAGCTTCTCTTCATCAGGGCTCATGGATTGCTCAGCAGACTAAGCCCCTGCTTAGGTAAACTCAGGGACTGGGGTTTGATTACTGGTACCACATACCGTGCTAGCCCTGCCCTTGGGAGTAATGAACTGACCACTAAAACCATTACTTTTAGGCAAATCAAGAAATAAGTGAACCAGAAATATACATACATACAAAATTGGGACTGCACTTTATATTACAATTTTGATGGATAAAAAGGACCAAGAGGGGCCGGGGAGATGGCTCAGTAGAATAAGCGCTTGCCTGGCAAGCACAAAGGTCTGAGTTCAAATCCCTGGTTCCACAAAAAAAAAAAAAAAAAAGAAAGGACCAAGAAAGGAGCAGTGAGCCAGCTCAGTGGACTAGGTGCCTGCTTAGGCAAACTCAGGGAGCGGGCTTAATCCCTAGCACCACATGCCGCACCAGCCTCCCTGGGTGTGCTGAGCTGGCCACTAAGTCCATGCATGGTAGCGCACACCTATAATTCATCCTAAGGTTGAAAACAGGAGGATCACAATGAGTCTGAGCTGTGTAGTGAGACCCTGTACCAAATACATTTTTAAAAAAAGCTTCTCTTCATCTTAGAAAATATTCATGGTTGGTGTTTTTGCCTAGCATTTTCAAGAACTTACTTCAAAGAGTAAATACAGTGGCATACTACTGTTGGAACAGTATGAATGGGAGTATCTTATTTCCATTTACTAAGACCTGCTTATTGGTGGCATACCAGGAACTTTTACCTAATCAAAACAGTACTTTACACAGGTAAGTCTCTTACTGAGCTCTTCTCAGAAGGCAGTGTACTTTATGAAGAATTACAAGACAGGAACTTGAAGGCTTCAAGCATAAGTGGTAAGAAAATGAAGAGGTGAAGTTGAGCACTCTGTGATGTACCCTGACTTTATCAGTCCATTCTGGAGTAAGTGCTGAAATATACAGTCACTCATAAGAGAGCACAATTACATTTTAATTAAAAACAAGGAAATATGGGCCAGGGAGATGGCTCAGTAGAATAAGCGCTTGCCTGGCAAGTGCAAGGGCCTGAGTTCAGTCCCCGGTTCCGAAAAAAAAAATAAAAAAAAAAAAAAAAAAAAATAAATGTGTTAAGCAATATGCGTTCCTCTAGCTTCTTAATTTTTTCCAACAGGACCTCTGGAATGAGGCTTTAATTTAACAAAGCCTGTGCTGCATGCACAGGGGCAAGAAGGTACACAAATCTCAGACTCCTTGGGTCCATGCAATAACAGCTAAGGCTGAGGTGCAAGAGCAGCTCCTCAGTGCTCACCAGAGGCCCGCCCCATTCCTTGCCAACACTGGAGGATCTTAGAGGTCAAGTCTGGTGTTCCTCTGGCATCAAAATCTGAGACAGTAAAGAAGCAAGAATATGTGCTGAGCTCAACACCCACTCAGCACTAGCCACCTCTACGCAGCATGAAGGCGCTATAGATGCACTTTGAATATGATGACCATGAACACCCAAAGCTCGGCCAAAGGCAGAACACTAATGTCTTACATGAGCATGGTTCTCAGCTTCAAAAAATCGTTATGTTCAGGATTCTCCACCTCCACAACACCCCATGGATAGAGGCGACCTCTGACCTTCTTGCCTTTGGCTTCAATCAGCTGGTTGGATCCAACCACAGAAAATGGGATACTGGCCTAGAAAGAAACACAGGGCAGATGTGCTCTATATAAGAAATTCCAACATTCATAACCAACTCAAGAACCAGCATAGTTTTGGCCCACTGTTGTCAATTACAAATTTTAGCTGACAGCTAAGGGTATACATACTTTACAAGTGTCAGATACTTTCCACATGGGACAAATCAGGAACAAATTAAACCTGGGCTAACATTTCCAGGTCTTCAGTAAAAGCTATGTCTAAATTTATTTACAGTAAAATTACTCTGGGCCGCTCTTATCCAGACAATCTCTCATAGATCAAGCCCTGTAGAAGTTGGCCCTTTGCCAAGGCTTCCCTCTGAAATGTACTCACAGGCAGCAGAGAGGTGTTCACACTGCGCCCACAGCCACTTTACCTTGAGGAGCCGAGTTTGCTCTTTAAAGTCTTCATCTTCATCTGATTCTGCATCAGGTAAGTGATAGATTTTGATGTTATGTTCTTCAATTTCATCCAGAATCTGAAAGAATAACAAAACCAGACTCAATGTTAGCAAACTGAGTATTTTAGCAAAGTCCAACTTATTATATTAGAAATGTCAGAATTGTACAAATGCCAGTAAATAATCAAATTGATTTAACTATTTTCAAATGATTTTACCAACTGCTACAAAGGTACTTATTCGTGAATTTTGAGAGCTTTTCTGTCTATAATATTAGCAGTAACACAAAACCACCTTAAACGTGCAAAGCAGTGTCTACAGCTGATGGCCTTAGCACAACAGCCTTACTAAAAAGCACCCTCCATCTGCCTCAAGAGGGGACAGGGCCAGGAGAGACATGGAAGCTCCTCAGGAACACGGGGGGGGGGGGGGGGGCATCCAGACAGAAAACATCCTATGAATGGCTTGGAGGGGAGAGGCGTGTTTCAGGAACAAGAAATCCAGAAGGCAGACTCTTAAGACATTTAGCTGAATCTAAGAACAAACAAGAGAGTTTCTGGAACACCAAGAGACCTAGGGCTCCTGATTTATAGGCAGCAAGCAACTGATACTGCTGAATATTCAGCAGTATCAGTAAGATGGAGAGAGAGGAGAAAAGAACTGGACTGGAGCAATACACGGTCATGTACTGCTTGGTAATACATGACAATACTAAGCAGTCATGTATTAGCTACTGATTAAGACTCAGCCCCAGCAGCCTGCAGTTTTGCTCCCACTGGGATCTGTGCCACTAAGAGGAAGAGTCCAGGGAAGGGACGAGGAAAAACCCTGGCCTCCACTATGCACTGGCTGTTTGGTCACAAGGATGAAAGTCCTTCTGGATCTTGCATGACCAAAAACCTAATTTAGGATTCTAAAACTCTACAAATCCTTTCCAAATAGGAGAAGCTATTTCATCTTTGAGTGATACTGCGCAACAAGCACAAATTTGTGCTGTCCTTATCTGATAGTGTTCCTGGCCTACTATCTATCCCCACTGACCCCACATCTATGCTGGTCTTATAAAGAAAGAATTCAGTGAGGAAGAGGTGAGACATGAGAAATACCCATGAATGTCCCCAACAGGCTCCTGTGTTGAGTGCTTTGGTGCTAACAAGCTTTGGGAAAGGGACTGGATCAATGACAGCTCCTGACTTCATCAATGATTAATCTACTGATGAGATCATAATTTGATACCAATACTAGGATGTGATGAAATAGGTAATGTAACATTAGGTACTAGTGCTGGTGCCTGGCCCCTTTTTCTATGGTTCTCATTCTCTCCTCCTCTCTCTCTGTCCTGCTCATACATGTGCTGGCTCTCCCTATTGGTTTCCTGGCTGCCCATGAGTAGAGCAGCTTCCCTGTGACAGGCCCTTCCACCATGTTTCTGCCTGGTCACAGACTTAAAAGCAACAGAACCACCAAACTGAAACCTCTGAAACGGTCAGCCAAAATATTTCTTCTTTTCTGATTCTCAAGTATTTTGTCACAGTGGTGAAAAGCTAACATAGCAAACCATTTAAAACTGGAGGAAAAGACTTAGGAGGCAATGACTCAAACTGACGTGCTTTCAGGATCATTAAAAGACAGGGAACTTGGAGGGTAAGAGATTGTGGAAAGCAGACTCCTGACTGCACATACAGTTCACATGAATAAGAACCTTGGAAGGCAAAGGCAAAAGCCACAGAGCTGATGTTAGCACAGCAGTATCAGGGAATATCATCCTCAAGGAGTTGAGAAGGTGAAAGGTAATGGAATAGGCAGAGCGGAAAGCACCCCACAGAAAAGTGAGGCAGGCCAGTCCAAGGGCAGAGCTGCTGGCAATCTGTGAGAGAACTGCAGCTGGATGGAGAGAAGCCACAGTGAAACAGGGCAAAGACAGGGTAAGCAACACACTGGAAGTCTCCATGCCCCTGGCAGGATGGGAAGAAAGGCTGCACAAGCATAGCCAGCAAACTGCAGCCTGAGAAGAAATGTGAGGGACACGCCCTACAGTACTTCAGTTCACCTCAGAGTTTACAAGTTCCTCCTATAAACTCTCAATACCAGATAAGAGATTAGGATTAGTCTTCTATCCCTGATATACCCTCTACTCTATGTCAATGAAAGTACTGGGTTTTTTTCCTTCAGTACTGGGGACTGAACCAAGGGCCTAGTGTATAACACATAAGCCTTGTACCACTAAGCTATACACATGCCTAAGATTTTTTTTTTGTGTGTGTGTGTGGTACCGGGGATTGAACTCAGGACCCTGCCTTGCCAGGCAAGCGCTTATTCTACTGAGCTGTCTCCCCGGCCCAAGACTTTTTATTTTTAACAGGCATTACTAAGGCTGAAGTGTCCAGGATGGCCTCAAAATTGTGATCCTCCTGCCTCAGCTTTACCCCTAGCCAATGCTTAAAAATTGAAGAAATATCTGTAAACCAACAAAGAAAGAAACACCAATGGGCAGTGCACACAAGGACAGACATGTCCTCACCAGCAGTCGAGGAGAGGCAGATCAAAATGAGAGCTAATGTTTACAACAGGAAACACTTACAAACCTAATAACCTATTTACAAATTCTCGAGAGTCAGGTACAGATCAGATGACACTTTGGGGAAGCACTCTGTTACAAGCTTATGGGGTGGGATTAGCCTTCTTTTAAAAATTTCAAAATGTATTACTTGAAGAATTTATTTAACTCATATAATTATGAGTAGACAGATGTGCACCGATGTTTACTACAGCACAATTACTGAGTACCTACTGTGTGCCCGTAGTATTCTTAATTATTAGAAAACAAGAGAATAAAGCGAAGATCCCTGGTATCAGACTGGTGAGAACCCACAAACACACTGTTTCACATCACAGGCTGGGGTACTGCAAGGGTGTCTGTGAAAGGGGTAAAAATCACAGTTAGGTTAGGTATCTGGGGCAAGAATTTTCCAGACAAAAGGTATTATTAACAAAAAAATGCCCTAAGGTACAAACATACTGAGTTCAGAACAGCAAGGGCAAGGGGCAAAGTAACTGGAAATTTGGTTAGTATAAAATGGGGTCAAGGCAAAACAAAAAGTGAAATATCAATTAAAAATTAAAAAAGCAAATTATAGTATATTTATACTACAGAATAGTATGCAGCAAATAAGAATTATAACAGAACTATATATGATGGAGCTTAACTACTTTTAAACTGAAAAATGGAAAGGCAGAACAGTATTCATGTCTCTAACCCTAAGGGACTAGGATCTGTGAGCTCAACTACACAGTGAGACCTTGACTCAGAACAAAAGGCCTAATGATGTGATTGCAGTCTATAAAAATAAAATATCTACAGGCTATCTTCTGGAAGGACAGATATTTAACTTAAGAGTTGTTTCTGTGGCTAATTAAAAGAAGTCTTATTTCAGAGTTTAGCATGTGTGTAGGCTGTTTGGACTTTCTTAAGGTGCATACATTTAAAATGTAAGTAACTTTTAAAAATACTTGACTGTGTCAGGCCAGAGATATAGCTCAACAGCTTAAGTGCCTGGTTGACAAGCTCAAGGTCCTGAGTTGGAACCCCTGTAAAACACACACACACACACACACAAATATATTCAGCAGTATCAGTAAGATGGTTTACAGAGGTACTCAGGTGAGCAGCTGGGAGGTGAGACACATCAGCTAGCCTACAGCTGGAAGATGTCTTTATACCCATCAGTATACACAAGTTACTGTTCTGCACAGGTACATGTTTCAGTGTTATCACTGCTTTGCAGTATTGGGAATTGAACCCAGAGCCTTCATACTGAGCTACTGGGATCTACCAACCCTCTTCATTTTTCATTTTGAGACAGCAACACACTGACAGAGTCATTAAGTTGTGCAGAATAGGCCCTTGCTGACTCAGCCTTCCTGTGTGCTGGGATTACAGGTGTGTGCCACCCTGCCTGGCTTAAAAACACCCTTAATTGGATTTGGGTAAAATATTAGACTCTCGTGAAGAGAGAATACTTCTACATTCAGTTCATTTATCCAACCCCTCAGGACCCTCCTTGCACTTAGCCTTCTTCCACTGATCAAGGGTCCTTTTTCCATTTGTGTATTTGATACAGGGTTTCACTACACAAATCAGAAGTGCTGGTGATTCTCTTGTTTTCAGCCTCCCCAGCAATGGGATTACAGGTGGACTCTGTTGCCAGTTCAACATGCCCTGGGAAGCAAGGAAGATGTGGCATGCAGGACTGGGGATTAAGCCCTGGTCCCTACACTTGCCAAAACAGGTGCTTAGTTCGCTGAGCTATCTTACCAGCCCAAGGGTATTTTTATGTGTAGAGAATTTACAGAATAGAGAGTTGATACTTTCAAGAAAGCAAAAATGTTAAAACAAATTAGCAAAAGCTGCAAGGTTTAGGGTTTTTTCAATCCCACAACCAAACTGGAAAAAACAACATCAAGAAAAGCAGGGCAGATTCTGCAGCTTTGCCCTTGGCACTTGCCCAGACCCTTCTTCCACTGCTCACAGGCAGCTGCCTCCGGCACCTAGTGTAAGGCCCAGTAGCTGCTCACACTCACCCTTTTCTTCAGTCGTTCACGCTCCTTCAGAGTAAGTGTGTCGGCTTTTGCAATGACAGGCACGATGTTTACCTTATTGTGTATTGCTTTCATAAATGCGACATCTAAAGGCTTCAGCCTAAAAACAATTGCAGAACAGTAGCATACAGGTACTGAGGGAAAGAATGGGGAGATCACACAATTTCTTTTTCTCTCAAGTCTTCTCAATTATTGTACTACAATATGCAGTTTGGGAGAAACCTACAAACTCATGCAGGAAGGCAGGTCTCAGTGGCTAACAATTTCTTACCCATGTCCAAAAGGTGAAATGAAATAGAAGCAGCAGTGCACCCTGTTATCAATGATGTGTCGCCTGTTCAAGCCACTCTCATCGTGCAGGTAGCGTTCAAACTGCTCATCGATGTAGGAGATGATGGTCTTAAAACTAAAACACAAACCTCAGCAATCATCTTGGAATAGAAAGGAAGTCCTCAACTTTGAAAAAACAATTTTTTACAACAAATACACATACTCTAAAAATGAGAACGCACTGACTCATCTTGGTGAAATGGAGGTTTCTGGAAAAGTATGCCAAGTCTATCTTTCCTTAAGTGCTGCGAGTCAGCAGCCTGAGTAGAACAGGTTATAAGGCATCCAAAAACATACGGCATGTGAACCCTTGGTCCATGGCAGGACTATGCGAGGTGCAAGCAGGACAGCACAGCTCAGGGCACAGTATTGAAGGTGATTGCTGTTGTACAGGAAAGGCAAAAACACCTTCCCTTTCCTGCCTTTCCACACCTAGTGCTGTCAACTACAGGCCTTGTGATGATGGGCCCATAATTAGGAACAAAAGTATGATTCTTGATGTGATACAGGCAGTAGGCTGCTTTATCTTTTCTTTATTCCCTTATATTTAAAACTAACTCCCACAGTATTTATAAGCACCTGAACTCAAGCAACTTGTTAAGTTTCACTTCCTCCCACAGGAAGGGACAATTACCTGCTAGTCAAGAGTTCAAATCAAGGTGTTCCCTTTACATTGGCAGATTATGGATATTGGCTTCTGTGTACGTGTGTTTTATGTGTATGTTTTAGTGTCCCAGGGATTGACCACAGGGCCTTTACTCTGAGGTATATCCCTATCCCTCTTTCAATTTTTAATGTGGAAACAGGGTTTTGCTAAGTTGCTCAGGCAGGGTTTGAACTTGTAACCCTTCTGCAGTATCCTCCGAGAGTACTAGAGTCACATGTGTGTATCAGAGTTGATTTTTCACCTCAGATCTCACCACTGTGATCTTCTGAAAAAACACTCATCTGTAACACTCATTAAAAATGTATCTAATGTTTTAATTTTCATACTATTTTATAGTTATAACTACCCCCTGCCTAATGACTACTCATTAACATTACAAACTTCAATATATTAGAATTAATCCAAGTAAACACAGGCAGAGTCCTTGGAACCCTGGGGCTTTGTGACCTCTTAGGGTGCTTACCAATCCCTGCAATTGATGGCGTCCCCATAGCCAGGTGTGTCCACTACTGTCAGGCGCAGCTTAACCCCACGTTCTTCAATCTCCACAGTTGAAGCCTCAATTTGGACAGTTCTTTCAATTTTCTCTAGAAAGGAAACAAACAATAGAGACTGTACCCTAAAATCAAACCACAGGGCAAAGAGGAGAAATTACCTACTAATGCTCTCATCACCTCTAGATGGTCACTACCTCTCTTTGGAGGAAGGCTCTCAGAAGAGTACAGAGACACAGCGAGCAAGAAGGAAGCCTGCCTACTGCTCCAGCCAGCAACAGACCTTGGCGTCTTCCATGTGCTACTAATTTTAGGTGCATGCAAAATGCAACAGTCATGGGGTCAGGAAGACTTCCACCAAGATCGCAGAAGGAGGCCTGGGAGACAAAGCAGCATGACCTAAAGAGGGCAATGTCTGGAGCTGTCAAAGTGTGACACAGGGCAGTGCAGTGGAGAGTCCAGAGGTTGGAGAAGTCAGGAAGGTGGACTATCTCTGGAAAACTGCCAAGAAGGGAGCAAAACTGGCCCAAGAGGGAAGCCATAGGAGCTACAGCAATCAGCAGTGCCACAGGGCAGAGCCACCCAAGCCCTTTGGGGTTTATATTTTGCCACAGATTGTCTTGGATGCTGCACATGGAACCAGAAGACTTATGTTTGCCCTGTTGGATTTTGGACTTACTCTATTCCCATTCCTTTCTATCCCCCTTTGTACTTTTTTGAATGTAAATGTCTTATGATGTGCCATTATATTTTGGAAGTGTTGAACTTTCATTTGTGCAAGGGCTCACAGCTAAGAGTTTGCCTTAAATCTCACTGGAGACTCTAGACTTGACTTTTCATCAATGCTGAAACTGTTAGGACTTTGGAAACTCCTAGGGATAGACTAAATGGCTTTTCCATAAAGTGTATGAGTCTCTGTGGGGCTAGGGACAGAATGTTATGGTTTGTATCTAGATGTGCCCCCAGAGCCTCATGTCATTTTCAGAGGTGGCTGGATCTAAGATGAGTGATGCTGGGATCGAGAGTGCAGTGCTAGGATTAAGGATATGATTGTTACCTACCTTAAGGTGGGGAGCCTGGATAAGATATAAGGGACGCAAAGAGGCTCGTTGCTTACTTTGCTGCCTTCTGACCACCACGAAACGTTTCTCTTTTGATGCCTCCCTCCCATGCCACTCTGCATTAGAGCCAACTGACTATGAACTAAAACCTCTACTAACTGTGAACTATATAAACCTTTCTTCCTATTTTGTGTCAGCAATGAGAGAAAAGTAACTAAAACACCTGCTATTAATTAATGTTCTCACAACAAACAACTTAGAAGATCACTATCTATCTTTGAAGGAACAGTGTCGGAAGAGCACAGGGACTCTGTAAAAGAATACCAGAGGCATCAAGGGAAAATTTCAGTGCTAAAATTAACATCTTAGGCGAAGGTTAAACATGTCAATAAAAATTACAATGTTTGAGGTGCTCGTCCCACTGAATCATACCAAGGCATGAATTTGAAAAGCTGGTGAAAGAACTGTCTGCCCATGCCCAGACTCCAAATTTGTGCTTAACCCACTTGGTGACCAAGTATTCATAGACTCTGTGTCCTCTACCGGAACACCCAGACAGTATTTCTCAAGTAATCCTAAAGGTGTGCAGCTGTTCTGTCTACCACAATGGGTCTCACTGTGTAGTCCAGGGGGGTCACCAACTTGCAGTATTTCTGCCTTGGCTTTCCAGGTGCGCATAGCAATTTTAACAACACAACTCTCTCACTTGACACTCGTACACACTGTATAATACATCAGAAACTATATATAAACTCACAGAAAGGGACACATGCAAACGTATGAAATTCCACAACCAAGAGCTCAGGGTCTCAGGTGAAGCACACATGTCCTAAGTGATATATTCCTGTGTTGAAGAAAAACTCAAGAACAGACTAAATAGTTAAAGACAAAAAATATTATTTATGCACTGTTTAGCAACTTATACATAGTTATACTCAAAGCAGTTACCTGCAGCTCCAGGTATGATTCTTTCTGGATAGAGATCAGTCAGGAACAGGCTGTTTATTAGAGTTGATTTTCCTAGACCTGACTCACCTTGAAATGAAAATGAAAAATCATGTCATGATCTTTCCCACAACTATTAAATCTGCTGTTTTTTTAGGCCAGGTACTAGGTTTACATATCTCACAAACACTATTCGGTACTCTTGAACAGTCATTGTAGATTCTATAGGTGCCACTACTCTGGTTGCACAGCGATTCACAGGCAGACAGTAACTTTTTAAGGTCAGAGGTATCCAGAGCAGAGCCCTGATTTGAATTCATGTTGGTGAGATTCCAGAATTTGTACATTATACAATCAAAAACACAATTTCACTTCCATTTTTCTTTTTTTCATAGCATTGTGGACTGAAACCAGGGCCTCTATGCTGAGCTATATCCCTGGCCTTTACGTTTTCTTTTGAGACAGGATCTTCGTAAAGTTTATCAGCTACCCAGGCTCGGCTTAAATTTGGAATCTTCCTGTCTCAGCTTCCAAGAGTGCTAGGATACAGAATTTACTACCATGCCCAGCTTATTCTCCATATTTTTAATGTTTGACATTTATTTTTAAGAATAAGGAAAAGCTAACAATTGAATTTTATACTGGAAGGAGCTATGAACAAATTCCACTCCTTCCTTGTAGTTATCATTGAAGGCTTTCTTTGCAGAGATACTTTTCACCTCAATACTCTATCATACTTGGCATAAGACCTCTCCAGGCACTTTAGTTTGAACCATCTTCAGCTAAGTCCTGCACAGCATGAGAAAAGAGTCCATCCTATTTCTTTTAAAAATCATTACTGGGCCGGCCAGATAGTTCAGCGGACTAAAGCGCCTGTTTAGGTAGGTGCAGGGACTGGGGTTCGATCCCACTGACAAGCCTTGAGGCCTTGCCCTTAGGGTGCAGAGTCAGCCACAGAGACTGCATGTGGTGGTGCTTGCCTGCAATCCCAGCGCTTGGAAGGCTGAAAACAGGAGGATCACTCTCAGTCCTATTTGTGTAGTGAGATCCTGTAGACCCTGTACTAAATATGTTAAAAAAAAAAAAAAAATTACTTCTAGGCATAGGGCTGAGAAGATAGCTCAAGCACAAGGTCCTGAGTTTAATGTCTGGTACACAAAAAAATAAAAAATAAAAAAAATTAGGCAAATCAAGGAAATTAGTGAACTGGAAATGTGCAGACATACAAAATTAGGACTGTACTTTTCATTGCAATTTTTCTAGGTGAAAAGGACCAAGAATGGGCTGGAATCACGGAGCTGCCCAATCCCAGAGGGTCTCTGCCTTGCCTGTGCCTAGCATTCTACCGTCCCTCAGTGAGCCAGTCATCAGGCTGCAGGGAGTAGCCCTCCCACAACCAGGCCTGGACCAAGAGTCATATTTGAAACTATCTGGTCAACTGCCCCCATCTGATGCTGAGGTGGCCCAAAGTGATTCACCTGAAGACCCTCCACAAAGTTGTATCTTGAGATAATTATGTGATTACCGTTTTTTAAAACAACAATAAATAACTCCAGAGCCTAAAAAAAAAAAAAAAAAGAATGGGCTGGTAAGACAGCTCAGTGGACTAAGCATTTGCTTAGGCAAGCACAGTGACTGGGTTCAATCCCCAGCACCAAAGGTCAGCACTGAGCTGGCCACCAGGTTCAGGCAGGGTGGCACACACTTGTAATCCCAGGACCAGGGAGGCTGAAAATAGGAGGACCACAATGAGTACAAACTATGTAGTGAGACCCTGTACCAAATATGTTAAAAAAAAAAAAAAGACCAAGAAAGCTAGAATTATATATTGAATATGGCCAAGGATGAATGTAAAAATAACTCTGATATGTCTGTTATTCCATTAAGTTCTCCTTTGACAGAACTGTTTAGCAAAGATGGAATGCCTTTTACATTTTTACCAGAGGATAAAGGATGTCTGACTAACATTTGCTAATTTTTATCTGCAGTTGGGCACATATCTAGGTACGAGAACATGACAAAAAGACCAGGATGGGCAGGGAAAGGAATACTAAACAAAATCACCACTCATTCTGGAGCACTGACAGCTGTGAGCAACCCAGGTGAAAAGAGACCAGGCCCAGGAAATGTCTGAGCACAAGTATCTGCAATGCTTCTTCTTCTTCTTTTTTTTTCAGAACCGGGGATTGAACTCAGGCCCTTGCGCTTGCCAGGGAAGCGCTTATTCCACTGAGCCATCTCCCCAGCCCCTGCAATGCTTCTTTTAAACATTGATTGTAGCATTCCAGAGCCATTTCTAGACTCTAAATCTTAATCTGAAGGGTATTCATGCTATTTCATGTGGAGAGCTTTCAGGTAACATCTGTAAGTAATGTGCTTAAGGACTCAGAATAGGACACTACCACAGCTGACTCTGGGAGGTATGTGCTTGTTCTGCCTCTCTTTCACCAGCATCTCCATGTTGGCTTCAACAGTCTTGATAGGTACCACCAAACAGAGGAAGCAAGATTCATAAGAAATTTGAGCTGGTGTACAAATCACCACTACCCAAAAATGGTAGCCAACACAATGAGGTCTAACTGTCTAATTTTTCAATAAAAGTAACCATTAAAAAAAAAAAGAACTAGAATTATTATTCTCCCCTTAAAAAGAGAGGGGAGGCTGGTTGGGATGGGAGGGATTCAGAATTTACAAAGCAATTTCTGTCTTCTGAATCAGAAGGACAGGCAAAGTTAAGCTTTATTGCCTGATACAAAACTACTCCGAAGTCTAACCTTGCAAACTGGTACAGGAGTTTTAGATTTTAATCTGAAGTTGAATTTTTTTTTTTAAAAAAAACTAGGCATTTATATTTGGGTGAATCTCTTCCCATTAATTTTATTATTCACCAACACAATGAAATTGCTCTTTAAAACAATATGTAATAAGGCCTTTTTCAGGTGGCCCTGGGGGGCAGTATTCCAAGTACTTCCTTTTCCTGCTCATTCACACACTCTTGTCATGACAAGCTAGGTGCAAAGGGAGCAGGGATCAGAAATTTAGCTCCGTGTGTGTGTGTGTGCGCGAGAGAGAGACTGAGGATTAAACCCAGGGCCTTCACAATGAATTATACCCCAGACCTTTAATTTTGCAACAAGACTGGCCTAGACTTGGTTCAAACTTGTGGTCCTCCTACTTCAACCCCCCAGAGTACAGGAATGAGATACCTGTGCCATTTCCAGTTTGGGTCTATTCTGAGAAAAGTGGTTATGAATATTCATACACAAGTCTTTGTGAGCACAATAGAACTGCTGGAACACAATGGATAAGGCAGTTCCACACAGGCATTAATTCTAGTACCTGGGGAAGCTAAGGCAGAAGGACTGCAGGTTCAAGGTCAGCTTAAGCTACATAAGGAACATGAGGTCAGTCTGAGCTATACCTGCAAGATGGTGACACCCCTCCCCCCACTTCCAAAATACCAAACCAGTTTCAAAGTAGAGGCGGGGTGTGTTGGTGCATACCTGTACTCCTAGCACATGGGAGGCTAAAGCAGGAAGACTGCCATAAATTCAAGGCTAGCCTAAGCTACGTGAGTTCAAGGCAGCCTATACAACATAGCAAGACCCTGTCTCAAAAAACAACAAAAACCCAAAGTGGTTGTGGCACTTCCATTTCTTTCTGACAACCAAGAAGTTCTAGTTGCTCCATATCCTTGCCATCAACTCGGACCACCAGCCTTTAAAAATTGCACCCTTGGGGAGGCACCAAGATGACAGAGTGTTAAGCAGCAGAGAAAGAGCTCTTCTGAGTGTTGCTATCCAGATGCTGGAATATGGCAATACGAGAAAGACAAGAAGAAGGGAAGTGGGTCCCCTGGATACAGGAAGAACTGTGCTGCTCACTGCAAAGGTCCTGGCTTGATTCCTCAAGAACAACAAGAGAAGTCCTAAAAGGCTCAGGGGTGGCAGGGCTTTCTGAAGATGGCTGGATTACCAGGGTACTAACATCTACAACGGGTTCATCCATCGATGAGGTCATAGCTACAAGGGCTGCTATGAAGTGGGGCCTACTTGCAAGAAGGCTGCCTGGAGGTTCAACTTGGCAGGACACATGTAGCCCTGGATTGTGCTTTCTCCTCTCTTCCTCTCTCTCTCCTCCCTGGCTGCCATGAGGTCAGCAGCTTTCCTGTCACACCCTTCCTTTCAACAAAGTGTGCCTGGAACCAACAGAGCTGGCCAATCATGATCTGAACTCTTTGAAACTACAAGTCAAATAAATCTCTCCCCCTTCTATTATGTCAGGTATTTTGTCACAGCATCAAAAGGCTGACATACCAATCAGCAAACAAAGTTAGCTATGAATGAAGAGTATTTGTGGTACTATGTCTAACAAAGTGTTGGACCCAAAACACAAAGAGAAGTGTGCAAAGGGGCAAACTGAACTGCTCAATAAGACTTTATTTAAAAAAACAAAAATAATAAATTGCCCAGTCCGTTATTTTCATGACACCAGGAAATCACCTAAGATACCACTTAGCATACATGGAAACATTCTGCTATGTTCCTATCTTCTTTCCCAACATCACTGATGAAGGTTCTGAACATTGTGCTATTTTCCCCAAAAGCCCAGTGGTTTTTAACACTTAATTTTTCAATATCATGATGATTTTTTAGCAATACATAAATTATAAAACTGATTACTAGTAAGCCTTTTTATATACAGTACTGCTAGGCTTGCTAACTCTGAGGATATCTGTGTTTTGGCTTATACTTCTCTTGTCATTTGTAATAGGATAACACTGACATAGTAAAATGATTTAGGAGTATTTTTCACAGGTTTAGTTCTTTTATTCTTTCTGTATTTTAGGGAAGGGTCTACAGGGTATTCAGGGTCTCACTACTAGATTGGACTCATAATGATTCTCCTGCTCACAGCCTCCCAAGTGCTGGGATTACAGGCCCATGCCACCATACTCAGTCTCAATCACAGTCTCAGCGTGCCCCAGGGGTGGGGCCAGCATGGCAGGCTGGGGGACTGAACCCTAGGCCCCTGCGCCTGCTTGCAGGTGCATTAATCCGCTGAGCTATTGGGCTGGCCCTCACTGGTTTAGTTTCTAAAGTTTATATAAGATTTGTACTATTTTTACCTTATGTGAATCAATCCTATAGTCTAGTAACAGTACCATCTAAATGTAGAATTTCATTTTTAGCAAAGTTTTAAGGTAAATTCTGAAAACTGTTATACATTAGTAATAAAGCCATTTGAATGTAGTTTATTTTCCAGGAAAGTTTTAAAATGATTTCTTTGCTACATGACTATTTAGATTATGTCTTTCAGTTTTGTGTCTTTCAGGGAATTTCTCTACTTCATCTAAGCTGTTTAGTTGCCAAAGATAGTTCATATTTTTTCAACAAGTGCAGACTTTGTTAGTGATGATCTCTTTTTCATTCTCATATAGTTTTAGTAAGGTGGGTCTTTGTTTTGTTTTCTCAGTAAAGACAGAGGCTTATCAGTTTTACCAATCTAGCTTTGGGGTTAATTTTCAATACTGTCCATTTCCTCTTACACTGCTTCCTGCTCTTTATTATTTCTTTCTTGTAAATACTGAGTTTGGTTTGTTCTTCATTTTCAAGTTCATGGTAAAAATTTTGGTAGCTACACTGAACCTTTGTTTTCTGTAGTTTCACATCACAAACTGTTTTATTGTTGTTGTTTTCTTCTTTGAGATAGGGTCATTTCATGTAGCCCAGGCTGGCCTCAAACTCATAGCAATCCTCCTGCTTCAGCCCAAGCACTGGGATTACAAATAAATGTTACCACGCCAGCTTCATGCCACAAAATCTGATAAGTTAGTCTTTAATTGTCCTTCAGTATAAAGTATTTTCTGACGTTACTTGTGGTCACAGAGCATGCTATGATCTTGTGCCTGTCATATTGGCTTTCACAGCTCACAGCGCTTCTGGTGACTCTCCCACATGCACATGAAAAAGATGAAAGTTCTGCAACTGTTCAGATACTGCTTCATGTGGCAATCAGGTCATGCACCTTGAGAGCATTATTAAAATAGTTCATAATAAAAAAAATAGTTCATAATCTTACTGCATTTGTAGGTTACTAAACCAGTTAAAACTCTTGTATATGAATCACTTTCCGTGATCAAATTCTGTATTATGGGGGTCAGGGAGATAGTTCAATGGCATAAGCGCCTGCCAGGCAAGCTCAAGGTCCCAAGTTCAATCCCAAGTACCACAAGCTGTGCTGGCCCTGCACTGTGCCAGCCACTGAAATCAGGCATGGTGGCACATGCCTGTAATCCCAGTGCTGGGGATGCTGAGGTAGGAGGATCACTGTGAGTCCGAGCTGCATAGTGAGACCCTGTACCAATTAAAAAAAAATCTGCATTATTTTAGAGCCCTTACTAAATGCATACATATCTAATATGATACATTCTGAAAATAACTGATTCCTTTATCATTAAGATACATGTTTGCCTGTGGTAATAATCCTGCAGTAAGCCTGCTAAGTCCTGTCCTTACACAGATAGCTGTTTCAGCTTTGTTAGCATTGGACTCACATGATAATTGTCCTTTCATTTAGTTGCTTTTCTTTTTGGCGGAACTGGGAATTGAACTCAGACCCTTGTGCTTGCCGGGGAAGCACTTATTCCACTGAGTCATCTCCCTGGTCCCGTTTCATTTAGTTTTAACATACAAGTTTAAACTACAACTTGCTTAAAACATATGCATTACTATAGTGTTAAGAGTTTGCAACTTTAAAAATAAGAAGGGGCCGGGGAGATGGCTCAGTAGAATAAGCGCTTGCCTGGCAAGCGCAAGGGCTTGAGTTCAATCCCCAGTTCTGCCAAAAAAAAAAAAAAATAATAATAATAATAATAATAACAATTCTAATAATAATAACCACAATTCTAATTCAAAGACTTTTGTTGTTATCTGCTAACATGAGACAGTTACTACAAAATTTAGGGGCTATACGTATCTCAAACAATTAACTTTTTTTAATTAACAGACTTCTGGGGCAAGAAATTAGAGCATGGCTAAGAGCCAGCTCTAGCCTGGGGTCTCTAAGTAACATTCAATCAAGCTTCAGAAACCCACTTGAGACCAGAGGATCTTTCAACTTCCTTTTCTTGCCTCAAGGATTTCTTCCTCAGGCTGTGCAAGGTTCTCTCCACAGGGTAGCTGGCCTTCCCTGGTAAGGCAGGTGGGGCCACACACTGTGTCATTTGGGACTTGCTCTTGGAATCAATGTAGCTTCACTCCACAGCATCCTACTACACAAGCAGATCCTATTCAGCATGGAGACTGCTGTGAACATGAGTAGGGAAGTAACCTTGGAGGCTACTTTGGACGCTATCACAATGAGTGCAAACATCCATTACCTGTGATAGTGACTGTCCTGAGACCTAGCTATCTAGGGGTCTCCATCTTGTAGTACCCCTCCCTCATCTAGCTGTCCAGGGGCCCTACCCTGCCTACACCCTACCAGGTGCTGAAGCCATGTGGCAGACTCCAACCTAGCAAAGTCATCTACCACTGTAGCTGGATAGTGCTTGTTAAGATCATCATATATCATAATGATAGAGACAAAGTTCACATCACTCTTCCTGAGGACCCTTGTTCATTTTGCTGTTTCTTTAGTGCTATATGACACTAGTATCCTAAGATAAGGTGATTCTGGGGGTGCTATAGCCCACAAGCGGACCACTGTTCTGTAGGTAAACCCCAATAAACAGCGATTTGCCAAGCTGGAATTGCCCAATCTGTTCACTGGACTGCTCACTTTCTCTCTCTTGGTGATACAAAAAGCACTGAACTCAGGGCCATGTGCATGCTACTTAAGCACTCATGTGTGTCCCCCATTCTCACCAAAATGGCAAAACTCATCATAATGCACATCTGTAATCCTAGCACTGGTAGCGCGGGGCGGAGGGGTTATGATGAAGGAGGATTGAAAGTTCAAGCATAGCTTGGGTAACTTAGACCCTGTCTCAAAATTTTAAAAAAAATTAAAAGGCTGGAGATAAGGCTTAGTGCAAAGGCTTAGGCAATAAGTTCAATGCCTAGTAAGGGAGCTAAAGAGTAGACAACCATACTATTGGGCAAAAATGTCTAACATACACATATGATTATCACATATATATGAGTATCACATATATTCAAATTCTCAAGTTATTTGGTTTCGACAACAAAGGAATTTTTACTATTACAATATAGATCACGGTACTATATACCACAAGCTGAGAAGGAGATAAAGCTATAAATTCCTTACCAACCACCATCAGCGTGAACTCAAAACCTTTTTTCACTGATTTTCGGTGAACTTGATTGGGAAGGTTTGCAAATCCAACATAGCCAGGAGTTTCTGGATTTATAAATTGAGCTGGTTGTTGCTAAAAGAAGATTTTTTTAAAAAGCAAACACCTTATTGGTTGTTTACAAGATATAATCAATTAGAACTGTGATAAACATAGGTAATCACTTCTTACAAATTAAAAAAAGGTTACACATTAACATGAGTAATACGTAACTGCATTAAAAGAAGCAAAATCAATCTCATATAATTATTTAGCTATATAATGACCTAACATTACCATTTAGTGAGCCAATATTCTGCTTTGCAGTTTGGGAATACATACAAAATACACGTTTAAATCATCAGGGCAATTTACAATTTTGACTTGAGGTAAATACGCCACAGGAAGAATCAATCAGATTTACAATTAGCACCAAAATGACAAGTGGTTTTATTTAACAAGCCTAGCTGAAGAACACCTTTGACCAAGCATCAGGTACTGTAAACCTATAAATTATCTAAGAAAAGGTATTTCTCTTGCTATTCTCCTAACTCTGTGGAACAGAGTATCACCAAAATACCTCAAGTGATTTAGGAGTGGGATGTTTAGTAACTAATATTAAAGACCAAGAAAAAGACTGAGCCTGCGATCACAGCCGATCACACTCATGTATCAATGTTTCTTCATGGAAGTATGTCTAATAAAAAAGATAATTAAAGAATACTAAAAAATAAAACTAGGATTACGCAACAGCACAATGAAAATAATACGATTTTATTGCATCACTTAGTTGAAAAAGGCAAAATATAACATGGTATTTCCTTTAGGATTATTTTTTCTTTTATGATACAAAGTCTCGCTATGCAATGCAGTCTGGCGTTCAACTGTATAGCCCAATATGGTCTCAAACTCATGAAAATTGTTTCACTGAACCTCTCAAGTGCTGCAATTATAGGCATGTGACACCACTCTTGGCTAGGATTACATTTTGCAAATGTACATGTACACACAAGGGGAGAAAAAAGAGCCAGGCTTGAATTCCACAACTCTAGGAGTCTGAGGCAGGAGAGTTTCAAATTCAAGCCCTGACTGGGCAATTTAGCAAGACCTTGTCTTGAATAAAGAAGAAAAATACACACAAAATGTTAATTGTGTGTTTTGGGGTGGCAGAATAAAAGTTTATTTTCTTTTTTATCTGTGTTTCACAGTAACGCTTGCAAGAAAAGTAAAAACTGGTATAACAATTTCTTTTTACAGGATCAAAAATAAAGGCCAACAAAAAAATAAATAAAATAAAAATTAAAAAATACAGGCAACAAGAAATAACTTTCCACTTTTAACCACTAGTTCCACATTTCTCAGCATATGTGCTTTAAAAGCAATTTATCTCAGGGCTCTGGGCCAAGTTATAAGAGCAAACTAAAACAATTTATGATGCCTGAGAGCCCCATCAATTCCACCATGATAAATTGCTGGAATTCTAAATCATTTGATTGGTCTGCTGGGAATGATCTAAGGAGGCTAAATGGATTGTTACCGACATATTTAGAATAAAAGAAAAAAGAAACCTGAAAGGAACTCAAAACTTTTAGAATGACAATTAAATCAGAACTTTGTCTGAATAAACTAAAGGCATAAATCCTGACTATATACAGTCTGACAACTTGCCAGGCATGGTGGTGCACACCTGTAATCTCAGCTTGCAGGAAGCAGAGCAAGGAGGATCACAGTGAGTTCAAACAAGGATAGGGTATGTAGTGAGCTCCAGGCCAGCCTGAACTACATAGGAAGACCCTGACTCAAAAAAGTCTCAAAACATACAGCAGTTTCTGTTTATACTATAGATATATAATGATACATGCTCTTACCTTAGACATCTTTTGTGTTGTTTTTTTCTGTCTGTTAAAAAAAATAGGTCTGTTAAAAAAAATAAACTGTATATGTATCATATGCACATTTGCAGCGGGAACAGCCTGCAAACACTCACACACACACAGCATCTGGTGATGTGTGTCTACTTAAGTGTCTCAAATACTCTCCAGAAATGATGAAACAAGCACTTCTACTCATCACCTCGATAAAACAAGGTTAGAAACTGGAAGCTGATGAAAGCAACTGTGTATATATGTGCACTAATGCACATTGTGTACTTATTTTAATGTATTTAGTACAGGGTCTCATCACACACATCAGACCCGTAGTGGTCCTCTTGTTTTCAGCCTCCCAAGTGCTGGGATTACAGGCACACACCACCACAGCATGCCATGCCCGGTTTCAAACTCAGTCCCTGCACCTGTCCAAGGAGAAGCTTTAGTCCACTGAGCTATCTAGCTGGCCCTACACTGTATATTTTCAATAATATTTACATGTTTTCAGTAGTAATTGTATGCTGAGCTCTTGGGGTGCAATGACTTTTTTTTTTTTTTTTTTGGTGAAACCGGGGATTGAACTCAGACCCTGCACTTGCCAGGGAAGCGCTTATTCTACTGAGCCATCTCCCTGGCCCGGGATGCAATGAGAGAAAAGAACAAAGTCTCAGCGCCTGAAAATAGGTAATTTCTCTCCACTCTTTGTAATCGTTCATGGAGGCAGAGATGCACCTAACAGAGAACTATACCCTGGACACAGCTGCGGTCCTCTGGAGGTCTCTGGACCACCTAAGTCTTGATGTGAGAGCACAGGGCAAAACGTGAACTATATTTACAAGATGAAGGGACTTTAAGTGTTTGACAACTGTAGCAATAGTTTGTAAGCTATCTGGAATTTTCATACAAATAGTGCAACATTAAAAACTTCAAGAAGGGCTGGTGAGATGGCTCAGTGGTCTAAAGCACCTACTTAGAACAAGCTTAGCAAAGCACAGGGACCACGGTTCAATCCCCCAGCACCACATGCCAGCCAGCCCCGCCCCCTGGTGGGCTGAGCTGGTCATACACACACACACACACACACACACACACACGAATAAATAAATATTTAAAAAAAATAAAATAAAAAAAATAAAAACTTCTAGAAATGTGAAATCTGTTGGCTAAGCTGCAGTGACAAGATCAAAGAGCTATAACTGCAGTCAAATTTGATTCCGTCTGTAAAGCAGAAACTTAGGGGAACACTTAACTCTTGTTTTTCAAACTTTACTATTCCTGAATACTGCACATCCCTTGATACTCTTTGGAATGGAAATGTTCCCAATTACCTTGGGAAAAATGAAGTCTTCCCACTCCAATTTATTTGACCTTGTTAGCCAAAGTAAAAGAGCACCAGTAGGATTCATGAACTTTTAACTCTACAATATTATATCTCATAGAAGACCTAAGCTATAGTTTTGCTTCTCTTTTTAATGGCCCACCTGTAAGCTGTGTTTTGTTTTGTTTTTTTGGTACCAGGAATCAAGCTCAGGACCTCATGCTTGCCAGGCAGGTGCTGCACCACTGATCCATACCCCCAGCCCTGTAAGTTCTATTCTTGCAAAATACAGGACACCTACTTTGTTAACATGAACAGTTCCCACAGGAGGAAAAAGGACAAATGGAAAAAAAAAAGTAAGAATATAATTTTCCTGAGAAGAGTAAAGACCAATCTATACATTAATGAACTATCTGGGACTGTATATTAAGGAAGGAATTAAGGTCTCTTGAATAGAATGGACATCCTTAAATTCTGTTAATAGACTTTGAATTTAAAATATTAAATTACCTCAGTAAAACCTAACAATTGGGGGTAGGAGACATATCACAAAAAATCTTTTTCCCCCCCTTCCCAATACTGAGGATTGAATCCAAGGGTTTATGCCTGCTAAGCAAGTGCTCCACCCCTAAGGTACATTCTCAGCCCACTTTTTAAATTTCTTTCTTTTTTTTTTTTTTCCACTTTTTAAATTTCGAGATGCAGATTCCCTAAATAGCCCAGATTAAGGTGGGTGCAGGGCTGGGCAGATAGCTCAGCAGACTAAGGCGCCTGCTTAGGAAGGTGCAGGGACGGGGATTCGATCCCAGGTGTGCCGTGTTGGCCCCATCTGTGGGGTGCGCTGAGAAGGCAACTGAGACTGGGCGTGGTGGCACAAGTCTGTAATCCCAATGCTTGGGAAGCTGAAAACAGGAGACTCACTAGGAGTCTGATCTATCTCCTCTCACTTTATTGCTGGGGATGGAACCCAGAGCCTCATGAGTGGTAGGCAAATACAGTACTGTATTCCTAAATTACCACCTCTCTCATTTAAGGAATGAATTTATTTGTTTTTGTTATTGATTTTTTTTTTATTGTATTTTATGTTGGTACTACAAATTGAACTCAGGACCTTGCATTTGGCAGGCAGGTGCTTAAGTCTGATCTGTGTAGTGAGACCCTGTAAACCTTGTACTAAATACACAAAACAAACTAAATAAATGAAGGTGGGTACTACCACAGCCCACTGAGAAGTAAAACTTTCTTTTTT